CCTGCCATTTTCATAGCCTATGTGCATAGCTAACACAGCCAGTGAAAATATTTATTTATTTATATCAAATGGCAAGCGTTTTGAAAGTTATCATTAGCCCTTTAGTTGACTTCAGGCTTCACAGAGGGGAAGGAACATCAAAGTGAAAAAAGTCGAGAGGGGAGGGTGAACCGAAGAGTGTTTCAAAGATGTAAAAGAGACAGACACAAATGTAGAAAAAAGGTGAGCTAAGTACGGTGGAAGAAGTCGAATATGACGTAGAGTGGGGTGATGGAAGTTTGACGTGCGAAGTCAACTGCCAGTTAATAGACTTTTTTGCCGTATGAGTATACGTTGCCCAGGGTGCACTACGTGGGGGTAAGTCTATCGCACACCCCACCAGTGCAAATATTGTCCAGCGCTTATCAGAACGCGTGAAATCCGAAAAATTACATGTTAAAGCGTAAATTCATTTCAAGTTCTTTATTTTCTTAATTGAAATATCTCTTTATTGCCCAGGGGTAATGCAAAAAAGACTAATAAGCAAGTTAAAACGGCGAGTGCGAAATGACCCACCAGTGGGTCGTCGCTGATTTCCATCTACTGCGAAGCGACCCACGAGCGAGTCGTTTATAAAAATAATACGTCGTATTTAAAAGAACACCAAAAGGTGGTATTATTGCCATTTTCAGCACAGTCGTTGTTGATGATACAATACAAAGGCTTGAAATAATAAAAAATTTGTGTTCAACTCTTTTAATTGAATACCAGAGGCACTGACGCTATAGCAACCCCAAACATAATCGCACCAGCGGGTAATCAGCCATCACATTCAACGTGTTAAAACGCGAACTAAGGAAAGATTGAGGTACGCACGCACGGATACCGAATTTCATTATCAATGAGATAACTAAATTATCAAATAAACAAACAGCGCAATTTTAAAAGACCTGTCAATATATATATATATATAAATACATAGATATATATATGCTTTTGCACGTCAATGGCTACAAGAAAACTGACGACGCCTACCATACAAATACACGAATAGAGGTAAGGAAAAGTACACAAAAGTCAAGGATAGAGAGAGGAAAGGAGTGAGAAAAGAAAAGAAGACACAATTAGCAGATTTTAGGTCAAAAGACGGAAAAGGGGGGGGGACAGGTAGTAGAGAGTACACACGTACATAAAAAATACAAACAAAAGCCCAGCACTACTTTCTAACACTTTAGGTTTTCTTCACCACCGTCAGGGTTGCTGGCATTTAGTTGATCATCCCGCTTACCGGCTTCTCCATTCCCATTTCCATGATCACTTTTTACTTTATCCGAATGGGGTGCCGACTCTAGACCCACCTCACGTGGAGACTTCGAGGGCGAACATGTTACTTTCTTACTTTCAGTAGCTTCTGTAGACACCTCCTCCTGTTTGGGAGATTTTGAGGGGGTGATAGGCTCCTTCTTTGGAGTTGATAGAGGGGTCTTGGATTTTTCCTTCGAAGCTAAAACTGGAGTAAGATGGGGTGTTGAGGCAGAAGTGGACAATTTTGGCGGCAGACGAAGAGGTGATAATTTGAGAGGGGAAAGGCCGTCAGCGTTCATAGCACGACGGCGTTTCACCGCAAGATTTCGAGAGGCCAAGATTTCAGCTTTCTCACGTCTTAAGGCACGAATGGTGTCCTAGTAACAGGAAGAAGTAAAAGCATCGTAATAATAAAATTAATTTTCAAGCTCATCTTAGGTAGACAATAGCAGTATGGGGAAACCCGTGAAGGCCTCAAAATCTGCCCTCCTACGTATTGACCAGACAAAGTCAATGTATTTGGTTGTTCCGCTAACTGGGTGAGCGAGGATGGGAATAGAGTTCATTATTTCCGCCACTACTACTTAAAAAAGCCTCACCTACTAGAACTTGTCTATAAATAGGAAAAAAAGAACAAAAGTAACACGATTCACCACCTTTAAAATCGATTGGTTGAGAGGACCCGAGCCTCTCGAACAAGAACATACAAAAAAAAGACAAAATTAAGGAAAGCGAATTTAGGAAAGTGACCATGGAATCATAACCTTGGTTATGAAATGTACAATTCGATGCATCCAAAAATCAAATTAGATAAGATTGTTGAAGCCGAACTCAACTAACTATTCTATACCGCACTCTTTCCTGTTACATGGCTTATAGGTCTATTATTATGTTCTCCATGCGCAGATGATTCCACAAAGAGATTTTTCGACTATCAATGGTTATAATTATGATAAAAGTTTAAGAATTGAGTCCTCGGTGAATGCCGGAAAGAGCTAAAATACTACTGAGGCACTCTGAGGCCAAGAATAAAACAAATTAAATAATTGAATTAAACCGCCCAGGTAAAAAAGATAAAGTTACCATCAGGGCTATCAAGCGGAGCAAGAGACAAAATTCGTAAATAAAAAAAAAACTAAAATGTCATGCGTAATTGACACAACTAAATTTGGTTTCACGCTCAGAATTAACGTTTGTTCCCTTCCTTAACCAAGTTGTCTTATCACTTCTGCCAGTTTTTCAGCATTTAATAGGCAGATAAGTAAGATCAATACTTTGTCAGCCCTTTTTGGAAAAGACATCTCCTTCTTAAAAATCGTTGGAACGCGATCGAAAGCTCGGAGAGTAGAGATTGGACACTTGGTCTACCTGTGTATCAGCTTTAAATAGTAGACAATAAGATTAAAAAGTATGATTAGAAGAAACAATCGAATCTGAAATAATAAATCTCTCACTGCAAGTAATGAAAGTCAGAAAAAGTCAACATAATAATAACGATAGCGATTCGTGGAAAAGAGATAGAACAAACAAACCTTAAGTTTTTCAATCTCCTCTTCGGCCAAGACCTGAGATCTATATTCACGTTCACGTCTCTGAGCCTCAAGATCACCTAAATCAGCCCGAAGACCAGCGATCACACGGTCCTTGGCTAGCAATTCCGAATCCCTCTGAGCCAGTGTCCGCTTTAGGTTACGCATCTCATCCTGTAGTTGGCTTATGGTCACCATCTGGTCAGAGTATGCGGAACCTAGACTGTGAAATCAAGAACTTTATTTAAGGGGAATTGATAGGTGACTTGGATTTAATCGCAAAAGCATAGTAGTTAATCGATTTATTACCAGACGATAAAAATTGTAGTTCATTTTGAACAGATTAGAGACTCCCTTGTGACACTAACAAGACAAGCATTTCTCTATTGATTGGTAAAGTCTGCCATTCTGATCAATGGGTGCAGCGACGGTATAAGATGAGTAAAGGGGGAGTAATAAGAAAACGTGCAATAGTTAGCTAAAGATAGTTCCGACACCGACTCAGGAGAATACAAATCCAAAGCTCTTAAGGTAAAAAGCTAGAAAGAGCTAAAGTGAAGGAATTCCAAAATTAAGCCTATGAGAAAGCAGAATTCTATAGTACTTCTCCTAGACCAAGATATAGCCAGCATAGGTGACAAGCACTCTAAAGTAAATTCACTTAAGTTCATTCAAACGGTAATCCGATCTCTCGTGAAAGGAAATAGAAGTACGAACTTTGATCCGAGGTAAGGAGTAGTAAAATGAACTTAGAGAATCTCCAGTACTTACAAAATTAAGCAAGCATGCTAACGCTGTGAATTGCAATAGGCAGTATAACGAAACAATTTCTCCCAAGTTAGATGAAACCCTCGAAAAGGTTTGTGTTAGTAAAGCACTTTTGTGAGGTAAGTACAGTTTCTGCTAAGTTAGAGAAGAGCATAAATTTGAATTCATCCCACCGTGAGCCACTAAGGACGTATCTGCAGAGAAATCAAAAGCAAAATATTGTGATCCCGATCATAGCATTCTGAAGCAAAGAATAAGAGCTTAAAGGGGGTTTACTCTAAGCCTTCCTTGCAAGTCACGGGTCTGTTAAAAAGGCAAAAAGAGGAGACCATATATAGAAAGAATTTGAAAAGATTGGTGAAAAAAAACAATAGCCCTAACTTCACTATAGCTACAAAATCAAAATGTGGAATATTTATAGCGTTTGAAAATGGATCCCTTAAAAAAGATGTATCGAAGTGCGGCATAACGCAGAACTCAAACCCAAATTTTAGGGAACAATTAGGTGACAAACCATAATAGAAACGCATCCACAGACCACCATGCACAAAATAAAAACCGCATATCGCACAAAGAAGTCTAGAGCGCTTATTTTCCAGCAATGAATGTGATCTACCGCAAAGTTAGAGATGACGGGTCCGAGGTCCATCCAAACAAAACCAGTGACCGGCATCGCCAAACTACACTAACCAAGTCCTGGTAATAAAAGATGTGACAGTCCGGTTCCTCCTTACCACTGAGCAGCCCTACCACCACATTATAAATATGATGACGGGACTGACTGATTAGCATAGCCAAACCAGCACAAACCAAATCGACCTCTCGTGAAACATTAGCGCAGGTCAAAGGAAGCAAACGCAATAGGTAAAAGAAAAAAAAAGTAAAATATCATAGCTGGTTAACCCTTGACAGTAAACGAGATTACGTTAGGGACGGCGTTATTTCACGTGAACTTTTTATACGCTTTGCGGCATCAAGTAACAGCTTTTCAATACGAAGCAATGATTTGGACCCTTTAGTGGATGAAGACTGGCCACTAAACGTAAAGAGAAAAAAAACATACCACATCAATTCAACGAAGCAAATTCGAAAGTGCTGTTCTAGAGAGCATTAGCGGGGATTCGAAAAGTAGAATAAGGCAGGATCAATGACAATTCCTAAGCTCACTACGTTACATTTTACCATACCTTGCAGGTACTTCAAGAGAAAGAGAGAGAGGATTACGGACAGATGTGGTTTAAAGTTCAGCCTTTCCTGAGTGCAAATAGATAGAGCTTCCAAGTCAAGTAAGTGGTGGGGGCAAAAGCTAAACTGGAAGATCGTGATGCATTCTTCCTAAAGCGCAACCAGTGAGGCGATAAATTAATTACACTAAATATGCTTATTAAGTGAGAAAATTAGGCACAGCATATTTTACCTTATCCTATTCCACTGTTAATGCAATGTAAATACTATAGGCTAATCAGTATCAAGTAAGGTCATTATACTTTTCAAGCAAATGATAGAAAAAAACCAATTAAAGTGACAAGACCAACCATTAAAATGCACTGGATACTAACAACACTTGGGGTTTAGTAGTAAGAACTATTAATTCTATACGTTGTAACCCGAACCAAAAGCAAACAAAGGAAGATTCGTGAAGATCTCAACGTGGCCCTCAGCATCCTCTGACCCCGTTATTATTTGTTTGATATTCAGTTAAACTGGATCAGTTGCTTTGAGCCCCAAATCTACCCTCCCCCCCCCCCCCCCCCACCTCTTATAAAAAACCAAACTATTGTGTACTACTGCGAGGATTGTGTTAGTCGAAGGGATTAATATAAAGTCAATTTAAGCAAAATTTTAAAGGAAGCCTTAGTAATTCTAGTAGAGTGAAGATGAGCAAATGAAATCTATAAAGCTCCAGAAAAGTAAATTTATGTAAATAAAACACAGAAAAGTTATTTCAAATAAGTGATTTCTAATCACTAAAGTTAGCAGAAAAAAGGTACACGAACTTCTACTTAACAATAATGCCAATAACTCCAGGAACACAGGCACAGCACAGCCAGAGAAGACAAAATAATCGAAAAATGACGATGAAAGGACTCAGAGGGGATTTTTCTAACTGATCAGCGAAAAAATAAAATTAAAGCTTTTGAAATTTATCTATGCCTTATCAAATCAATAGTAAAAGTAAAGGTTCGTTACTTTTTCAGTGGCAAAAAAAACCAGAAAAGTAAACTGTCCTCACAAATGGCAGAATTCACGAGTTGAAATGGCAAACAATTCAGAAAACTAGTTTTATCGCTAATGAAAACAAGCAGAACGTGAATATTGCAAAGTTGAAAAAACAGTAACCGAAATCAGAGCAAAGCAATGATAAAAAAATCAACAACGGAGAAAAAAACAAAGCTGATTAATATTTAATTACCCGAATTGACCTCAATAAGGTTAACACAAATTGATAAAAATTAGTTACCCATCAGTTAACACGCTAGCCGAACGATCCAATGAAGTCCGACTCGGTATTTCCTCTGTTCGTTGACGCTTTGAAGAGCTATTTCGTAAAAACCAGTAAACAATAACCCAAAATTTATTTTTAAGGATTAAGAAGAGCAGACAAATACCCTAGCGAGTCATGAGTCCTGGAGGTAGATTCGCCTAAATTACTGCGCTTTGAATGACGCTTTTCATGACGTTTTTCATGACGTTGTTTTGACTTGGCAACCTTATAATTGTATGTACAAAGCCAACAAAGGACTTGACCATCAACCTTATTTCGAGCGGCCTAAAAACGGATTAGTGGAAATCAAGAGGGTGAATCACTTCATCTTTGTAAAAAGCACACAATTGGAGACATTTTTCACATTGCCTTGGTTCACCAAATTTGGATCGATAATGCAAACAGCGTTGGCAAACCAAGGCACCCCCGAATGCTATTGTGAGCTGGCAGATAGAACATGGCTTTGGGTCGCCATACTTTGATTTATGTGACTGGCATCGAGGACAAAGTGACCCTGATCTATAATATTAATCCATTATAAGTTTTTCACTGAATTTACATGGAACGCTTGAAGTCCGATCGGCAGTAGTCACACTGTTTAAATGATGAGTGATGTGGACGGCAATTCTGTATAAAAATTGAGAATTTGAAGAATATAAGAAAACCAACCTTACAATATGTCCCAGATCGTGACATCTGGGAGGCAGGAAAACTTTTCCCACAACGTGCACAGGAAAACATTGGCTGGTCCATTATCACACAGCGAGTTTGTCACCCTAGGGCAGATAAAATACATAGAACATCAAAATATCCGCTTCATTCGATTTATAAGTGAGTGCATTAAAATTGAATTCGATAAATATATGAAATCAGAAAAAACCTGATTTCTCTCGTCAAGGGACATATAACCTCTTTTTAACAGTGACATGAAAACGAGTATATTCAAATACTTTTAGTTACTGACGAATTAATAAAAACAATCTTTGATTTGTCAATGTAACTAACGACCAAACTATATTTAAACATAACTTATAATTTCACAGATTCATATATCTTTAAATTTCATATAAATATGGCTGATGATATTGAATGAATCGATTGAAAAGCAGTGTTGGTACCCTTTTGACGTTAACCATTCCTAATTCCTTTTTTGTTTTGACTAGGTTCTCTCTTTCCATACTCAGCTAATAAGGTTGTTCTTTTCTTTCTTATCTTAATCACCTTCATTTTGTGGTATAGTGACACTTTAGTATCATCCATAATCTAGGTTTTTATTTATTAGATACTTCGATCTCTCCTTAGCCATTAAGCTTATTCTTAATTGCTTAAATTATATAGCTTATTGCTACACCATTAAGCCTTAACCTAAGCTCAGTAATCGCTATGGCAAGATTTTCTAGTCTGGAAAGTTTCCCAAGACTAGCTTCTGCAAAGCTATAGTATTAGTATTCGTATGATGTGGTAAACGCTTATTGGGGACTGTGTATGTTATGCGTGGTACATTGGGTCCCGTTTTGAAGACATAGAGCCTTGTTAGTAAATTCTATTTGAGCACGGTTATTCTCAAATGTCCTTTTATTATTGATTGGTCGGGAGGTCTCTAAACTTGTGACATAATCTGCTCAATAGTGTGATTGTATGTTTGAGCGGATGCTCCAGCCAAGCCAGGGTTGGGCTGTACACAGGTATTTACTTTTGTATAATAGAATTTGGTTATCAGTATTTCATGAAGTAAGGTGACAATTTTGACAGATACAAATTTTTTCACATTGTTTTGCAAAATAAGGTTGCTCCAATGATAGTAGATGACAAACGAAAATGATAGTTGGAGACTTCTTTTGCCTTGGGATGATCGGTCCATCAGCGTAAATGTGAATTTAGATTCAGATACCAACGCAGTTGCTATTAATCATGTAGAGTTGACGACAAACAATGGCGATTGAGGAATTCTTTAGTAAACAACCAGCAGCTTATTCATTATTAGTTTCTGATGGGTTCCCGGCCACCTTTCAATTGATATAATGACATAATTAGATTACTATGTTACTTCTGCAGGGGTGCATAATAGACTTACCTCCACGTGGTGCACTTCAACAGTACTCACCTCACCTTTTTTCTACCTTTGTGTCTGTTTCTTTTACATCTTTGAAACACTCTTCTCTTCCCTACCCCCCCCCCCTCTCGACTTTTTTCACTTTGATTTTCCTTCCCCACTGTGAAGCCTGAAGTAAACTAAAGAACTAATGATAAATATCAAAACGCTTCCCATTTGATATAAATCTTCTTAGTCTGTCAATGTGGTATTTGTTTTGGCAGGAGATACGAACTTTGTTACTGACCAGACCATGAAAGAGGTGTTTTGGACAAATTTCTCCTCTTCAACGGCTCCTTTAGAGGATCAATATTGTGGAGACTTACATGAATGTATGCGTAATGAACTACACTGTGAGACATGCAGTCGGCTACTCAACACGGCAACAGCTCATACGCTACATTTACACTTCCGAACTTCAAGTGCGGCTCTATTTACCACGAAGATCTTGAATGCTCAAACTAATCTTAACCTGAGACGCCTAAGTATGATCAGAGAAGATGGCCAGTTTCAAGCCTGCTTTAGCTCATATCGGACCACGCGTGTGGAGCACAAGATATCAGTTTCTGTCTCTATTAACACGATTTGTGGAGCAACAGAAAACCCTTTGTTGAACAGAAACCACGCTCGTTTCGCTAACGATACTCTCCAATCAATCTCTTCCTAAACTCAAGTCCATTCTCTTTCTGCCGCAACAACCATCACAACCACAGCCTTCGTCTGTGCATTCAGGAAGACCGATTCGATCTTGTAAAATTCAATTTAGATAATCTAACGTCTAATCTGAACAAAATGCTAAAATTGTTACAATGATGGGTTTCGCATCATATTTTGAATTAAGCTCACACACAGCAAACAAATGCACGTTAAAAGCAAACTTAAATTAGCAAAACACAAAAAAAGAAAACGAAGATCACATTCCTATTGAGCAGCAATCGCTCATTTTTATTTCAAATCAAATGCAGATTGGTTAGCACAAGGAAGATTTCCCTCGAGCATTTCGTCCGTCTTATACAAATACTGCTACTAGTACTACTACTACTACTAACGAAGAATAAAAAAGACAGCGTAGTGTTTGAGTAAAAGTAGGTGAAACAAAAAAGGAAAAGTGACAAGACACAAACATTCAACCACCTAGAGGGAGTTAGAAGGCAGGTACATTTAAAAAGAGACTAAAATAGGTCTAGGGAGGGGGGGGGGAGGGAGGGAGGAAGGAAGGAAGAGGGGAAGCGATATTTATCAGAGGTAGCCTGTAGGCGAATAATGCCTCAAACACGGAGCCTCTAGAGATTCCTCATAACTCTCCGCCATAAACATCATCTTATGACGCTCGATGATCGCCAGAAGATTCTAGAGAAAAAAGGCAAAAGGAGTTTTATAAGTTTCACAATTTTTTGATTCTTCCTCTTCTTCATCTTTAAATAAACCCAAATTTGTTGAAGCGAGATTTTCAAAATAAATATATGATTAACCAGCTGTTTATATATATATATAGGCTCTGTCAGATAACTGTGGAAAAGATTGACTTTATGGAGATCTCAATAAGTTTCACTATCGTTTCATCTGACATTTGTGGGCATTTTATAATAGGTAAAAGGCGTTGAAGGGACTGGTTGCCTTTCCCGTCTCATCTACAATAATTTCCTTTGGCATTCTATAGGCAAAATATATTCCGTGTTTTATAGTCTGATTTAGACATTAATGTAGTAAAAAGGAAATCATTGAGAATACGTTACAGGATTTCTCTTTTCGCTGTTAAAAGGTAATTCAGCGGGGCTTTGAGACGAACTACTAGCAACCCTGGAGAACCGGTTGTCAGGATAACACTGTGCCCTACCCAAGAGAAACACCATTTTATATCACAGCTAGTAGACAAATATTAACCAACTTAGTTAGGCCTAGATAACGAAAATCCGTCTCAATGATTCTACCGTGATCGGCTGTTGAGGGCTCACAGGACGTAAACTATAACGACGGTGGACATGTCAGAACGCACTTTAACTCATCTTCCATTTTTTTGGTCTCTAACGAACTCCTAACGGACTCTAATCAGTACTATAGTGTCTTCTCAACGTAGTTTTGGACGATGAAATTAGAAGGGTGGTAGATAGCTTGGCTAGACTATAAAGTCACTAAGCCAATAAATGACCCATACTCCCTAACTCTTTATGCCAAAAACTTAGCACTTCAAAATAATACCAAAACTCACAGATTTAAGCTCCTGAGGATCAAGAAATGCCGAAAAACTCATTCTTTGAGTATTAGCACTCAAATCAGAGTGCAACGCCATCAAATGAGTTACCGACCACCCACGGGTCCTCTCCACAGCCTCATTCAAGAGTTCCTGTGCCACAGGAAGATAGATAGCACGTAGAGGGCCCTCTTTTAACCAGCAGGGAGTTTCTGTTGTTACTGCTGTTACGTCGGAAAATGGAGAGGAAGCAGCGAAGGGTTCTGTTTTCTCGTCGTCGTCATCATCAACATCCGCGTCATCGACAGCGTTGCCTTCATCTACAGCAACATGAACTTCGTGATTGGATTCGTGATCTCCCAAAGCAGTTGGAATAGTGGCTCCGCCTTCAGGCTCTGCATTGTTGCACTTCTCCGTCAAGGAGGTGTCTATAAAGTCAAAAAAATTCAAAATATGATACTAGCACAAACTCAAAGATAACTGCGACCAAGATAGTTCATTTAACGCAAGCATCAAAACCAATAAAGGGCGAGCAATTTTATTTCTAATATGGAGTTAACGGCGAACTTGAGCCGGCTCGAACTCAAGGAAGAATTTATCATAAGAATGAAATAAACTTCAACTTCCACATTGAAATTAATCCGTGAGATGATGTTGACACTAACAAACTACTTTTCACAATATATGGCATACCATTATACTCCGACTCCGACTAAAAATGTTTCCATTAAATCGAATACGCAGGTGGAAGTGCACACTAAGGTTTTCACAAATGCGGTATCTTCATCCCCCACCATGGCGCATGGGGGAGCGCACTCTGTTCTGTCTGGCATCAAATGAACGACGAAATTGTGGAAATATTCACTCAATGAACTCCAGTGCAAAGTTCTGAAGGAATGAAATTTAACTCAAGAGGAGCAGGGGGGGGGGAATTGCAAGTCACCAAGTATGGTGCCACCGAAGAAGCAAGAAATTCGCCATCAAGTGCGGAAGCTCAATTGTGAACAATTGTAGCGTCAGGCAGGTCACATGATGGCTGAGAGGATAGCAGCAGATGCAGTAAATGATAATTCCCCTTCGAGTTTTGTACTCTTCAATGACCCTCGACCAATCTCCCCCTACTGGCCTGAATCCCTTAATAACATTTCATTCTACATTAAAACGATTTAATAGAACCTTCTTGTTGTGAAATAATTTAAATATGTCAGTCCTAGTAATATTTGAATCACACTTAGTTACCTCTTTTCAATAAAAGTAATGAAGAAATGCAATATATAAAAACACACCTTTAGCAAAGCCATTTAATTTCAAAGCAATGATTTGTTGATACTTGTGAATGCTCAAGGTTAAACAAGGTATTATTACCTATTACGACGATTGGTGAATTTATTCCAGTCAATTCATAGACATTTCCAATATACAGCCTTAATATATTCATCGGTTATCATCCTCGATCACTTAGATCTTTATCATAGAAGGTGACATTAGATATAATAGGAAGACCTTAATCAGGAGAGAATTCAAGACCTCAAGGTGCGCTTAATCAGGAGAGAATTCAAGACCTCAAGGTGCAAAGAACTTAAACCTCGAACGAAGAGAAAGCAGTGGACAGCAACACTCTTCAACATAGTCGACTGGCTAAGAAAGAAAGCTGTTGCAAAGCTTAGACGGCGCACCGGACACGATTACCTGGCGAATCACCTTCATAGAATAGGCGTATACGCTCAACCAACATGTCCCCTATGTGACCTACAGGAGGAAATGAAGAATGCCCGCCTGTTTCGGTGTCCAGTCCTAAAGACAACGACAGGATCCCAAAGATACTGGTGAGCCAGAAGACAACTAATGAATTACTGTTAACTGCCCTAAAGCCTATATATACATATGTCCCCCCCCCCTTGTGACGAACGAAGTTATAAAGCCTACCAATTGATATAATAATAATAATAATAATATTAGATATGACGAGTATATAGTGCCTACTTGAACTCGTTGAAAACTCGTGGAATAAGGGAAAGTTAACAAGATGACTTACCCAAGTCGACAGAGAGATTTGAAGGCTGAGGTTCATTGTCCCCATCTGTTAGATAATGTTGGTCTAATTCAGCACGGGGTGTTGGAGCCTAGGAATAGAATGATTCATCGTGATTGGATTATAATTACTCCGAAGACAAGAATGTCATCAAAAATAAATCTCTTTAAGAAATGGGGCTATTATACTCTGATGTCAATCTAGCTGGGAAACTCATGATCATGAAGGGGACTTTATTCATGGGATTTATTACTCCGCATACCCAATGTCTCCCAGCACTTTATTACTGTTTTTATCGACATTAGTATAACGCTGCTCCCCTCCTCCCCCCCCCCCCCACCCCACCCCAACTCATAGATAAAAAAATAAACTTAAGATTGACAGATGAGCATGGCTCACAGAGAGATTCCTAGAATTACGAGCTTAGCAACCCATCAATTAAACGGATAAGAAACAATCGACTGGTATTTTGTTTCATTAGGTTGTAGTAGACGACTTCAGATGAACCTTCCGATTTAGTGTGTCAAAATGGAAGTTGAAAAAACAAGTAGATGCACTAATTTCGATAAAAAACTTACATCATCCGGAATTACTTCCTCATTATCAATGCCTTTCACAGAGCCCTTTCGCTTGACAAGTTGCTGCAAATCCGCTTCTCCGAAAGTTGGTTGCTCACCCTAAAACAAATTATAAGCCACAAACACGCACATTAAAAGTTGTCTCTTAGGTTCTTCATTGTCTATGCAATTTTGTTTCGCTTGAATTAGGGGTGCGCGATAGACTTACCTCCACGTGGTGCACCCTGGGCAACGTATACTCATACGGCAAAAAAGGTCTATTAACTGGCAGTTGACCTCTGAATTCAAACCACCATCACCCCACTGTATGTCATATTCGACTACTGCCACAGTACTCATCTTACCTTTTCTCTACCTTTGTCTGTCTCTTTTACAACTGTAAATCACTCTTCTGTTCCCCACCCCTCGACTTCCTGTTACTTTGATGTTCCTTCCCCTGTGAAGCACGAAGTCAGCCAAAGGGCAAATGATA